TCGGGTCCCACGGGTGACACGGGCCTCGTGTCCCACTGGTGACAGGACAGTCGTGTCCCCCAAGTCACACAGGCCTCATGTCCCGCGGGTGACACAGGGCTCGTGCCCCACAGGTGACACAGGCCTCATGTCCCACTGGTGACATAGGGCTTGTGTCCCATGAGTGACAGGATGGTTATGCCCTGCAGGTGACATGGGGCTCGTGTCCCACTGGTGACAGGACAGTCGTGTCCCACTGGTGACACAGGCCTCATGTCCCACTGGTGACACAGGGCTCGTGTCCCACTGGTGACAGGACGGTCATGTCCCACAAGTAACTCAGGGCTCATGTCCCACTGGTGACACAGGGCTCATGTCCCACAGGTGACTCAGGGCTCATGTCCCACTGGTGACACAGGGCTCATGTCCCACTGGTGACAGGACAGTCATGTCCCACAGGTGACACAGGCCTCATGTCCCACTGGTGACATGGGGCTTGTGTCCCATGGGTGACAGGACAGTCATGTCCCACTGGTGACACAGGCCTCATGTCCCGCTGGTGACAGGACAGTCGTGTCCCATGAGTGACTCAGGCCTCATGTCCCACAGGTGACATGGGGCTCATGTCCCACAGGTAACACAGGCCTCATGTCCCACTGGTACTAGGACAGTCATGTCCCGCAGGTGACATGGGGCTCATGTCCCACTGGTGACAAGACAGTCACGTCCCATGGGTGACACCAGGCTCCCATCCCCCAGGTCCCGTAGGCTTCTGTCCCACAGATGACGCAGGACACGCAGCCAGCCAGGGAGGGACATGGGGAGGGTTAAGCAGCAGCAGCGGAAGAGCTGAGCGTGCGAGATGGGGACAAGGGGGCGAAGAGGAAGCGCTGGGAGAAGGCACGACAGAAGCGCACAAAATGAGGCGGCCTGGGAGGCTGCTGGCGAGCGTTTGGGCTGCAGGAGGGCCGGAAATAGCCATTTCTAGCATTTGTAGGGAGTGTTAGCTCCCTGGATTGCTGGTGGAGCTGAGCTGCACGCACGCGCTAAGCAGAGGGTCCCAGGGTGGGAGGTGCAGGGAGAGGCACCCAGGGGACTGTCATCTGTCTGCTGTCATCTTCACACGGGATCTTTACGCTGGGACGAGTTGCTCGGCTTCGACGTGCTGCCAACACCTTCTGTACGTCGTTCTCTGACCTCAGCTAAAATGGTTTTGAAACTCCTTCCTGCACTTTGTTCTCCTTCAACAAGTGGTTCAGATCTTCATCTGAAAACTGGAGACTGTCCCAAGCAGTCCTGCTTGGCCAAAGTGGAAAGGTGCAAGCCTGCAGCAGATCCAGACCAAGAAGAGATCAGCTAACACGAGGAGAGCGCTCGCTGCTCTGTGTGCTCTGTGTCTTTGGCCACATCTGTGCTCAGGAAACGGTGCGCCTTGGCTGTCGAGTGAATTAAGTTGGAGTTTCAGTACTGTAGCAGACTAAAGTAACCCCAAAGCTGCTCCCTGGAGTTTATCATGACCCACTAACTTGCCCAAACGCTGCAACCTGTCTGGTGAACTCTACCGTGATCGTGCATCTTACAACGTCACATCTTTTCTCCCAGACAAGGTAAAGCCTTCCCCTGATTTCTTCTTATTCTGCCTTCCCACTTGAGTAGACATAATTGATGCCGTGGCGCAATTTATCCAGTTGCTGCCACTAGTTTTTTTTTTTTCAGTTTAGTTTTTATCCATTTCATGAGCTGGTTTTAATTCAAATAAAAGCAAGAATCCATGTCCAGCAGGTCTGGGACAAGATAAGCTCCTTTGAGCTTAACCGATGGTCTGGAGTTTCCTAAAGCAGCAATCCTGAGATGTTTTAGTCGTGTCCTAAAGAGAGAATAGCTGAAATGCTTGCAGATTCTAAGGGATCGTTATGTCTCAAGCAAGTTGTTAGGAGAGAGAAGCCAACATTTTTGCATATGAGAAATACCAGAATACAAATATAAAAAAGTAACTGCACTTGTTTCAGACAGGCAGCAGTGAGGTCCTGCAGTCGTTGGTATTCTTTGTGCACTAATTGCCAAATTAGTATATGATGCCTTGTATTGGGAGCTTAAAGCAATGAGAGTAACATAGTTTAGCACTCTAGATTTCCAAGGTGTCCAGAAACTAGTCAGTTGACTCTATGATCCTTCCATGCGACAAGAATTAGTATTTCCATTTGGGGAAACTGAGGCAGAGAGGACATTTAAGTTGCTCCAAATGTGTTAACAGCAGAGTCAACAGTAACGGTTCTTAATGCCATGGCTCCTCCCCAGGACAAGCCATCGTAAAATACCTCAAATGTCTGAGAAAGAGTGAGTTCTGCTGGATATTTCAAAGGAAGAACGTCTCAGTTCTAGCTCTGTGGGCAAGCAGCAGAGCTGTGATGGACACCTCCGTATCCATTTTAATCTCGAGCTTCCCTTCACCTCCCCAAAGTCCAGGTAGTTCCAGCCACCTGATGGTGCTGATGGAGAGACACTGTTAAAACCAGAGGCTTTGCATGGGATTCGCTGAACGTTTGTAACTCATCTAGTGTGTGGAAGCAGATCGCCTTCTGTGTCAGAGGATTACCATGCATTCGTTACTAAATGCAGGTAGTCTTTTGCTGTTGAACAGGTATTTTAAGTTTTAAGGACCAAAATGACAGTTGAGTTTCAGAGGAAACTTCAAGTAAGACCATTTAGATGCTGGCCATGCTCCTGTTTCTTCAAGATTGGCTTCTAACTTTTCTAAGCGTGTCTAATAATATACATCAGCAGCGGAGCTGAAGCTGGATTTCAGCAGATTTGCAACCCCTCCTTCCAGGAAACCCTGCTGGGGGGACCCCCCGGTGCCCACAGCGGTAACCAGCCGAAGGAGATGCTCCTCCGGGGGGCTATGTTTGTCAGCTTTTTTTTTTTTTTTGACGACGTGGGCTAAAAGCGTTACCCTCCTGCGACAACTCAGCTCGTCCGTCTTAGGCGCCGTCTTCAGAAAAACGCGGCTGAGCCGCTCGCGCGCGGGTCTATGCAGAGGACTGGATACCGTGCAACCAAATCTCCTCCGGCGGTGGAGGTTGTTCTCTGGCGCAAGACAGCTCCTCCGGTGGGGGGAAAC